GCTGTTTAAATTCACTTTTTTAAAAAAAAAATTGCTCACCTCTCCCATTGTGAAAGTAGTTTACACCACCACCACAACAACAATAACAACAACTACTACTTGCATTTATGTGGCGCCCGTCACCCCGGACAGCGCCTCAAAGCGCTTAGTAGTAAGCCTTCACAGATTTACGAACCTTCTCTGAGCTGTGCTTATTTGAGAATTACGTCCATGTCAGGACGTGACCTAATATACCATGCAGGGATTTGTAGCTGAGCAAAATTCTACCCCTCGCCTCAAGTTCTTTTGAAGAACCCGGAAAAAAACGTCCTCTGAATTGAAGACTGTATGTTTAGGCTTTGGCTCAGATCTGCACAATCCTAAATTGCACAATCTTTCTGCCAAGCGTAATTTTGGACCTTAGATGTTCAAACACGAAGCCTTTACGCGAGAGATCACTGGAACGAATGAGTGGTCAGTGCTGGCAACCCTGGCAAACAGGAACTTGCCACGTTTTTTATGCTTCCTCTGTGTGAGGGGAGCTATCCAAATGCAAGTTGTTGTTGTTGATTTTCCATTTCCTTAAAATGCTCCCACTTATGATTTTGAATTGCCTGCAACTTTATTTGTTTGACCTTGCCTCGAGGCATGATAAAAATATGAATTTCAAACGGATAGGCACACTATTCATGTGCAGGAAGTGGGAGATGCCATCTGTTTTTGTGTATCTATTGACTTGAATTCAGGATCTTAGTCTTCAGTTTTACAATAGTTTTCACTGCACACAGTTTTATTTCCCAGTGTGTCGTGTCTGAGTCATTTCGGGAAGTTGTGCAAGTAGACCAAAGGAAAACTTTTCCGAGCCACACAGATCACACATGCAAAGACACACTGTGATTTGTGAATATTTGCCAAAGGCCAATAAGCTAGAAAACTTCCCAGTTGCTGCCTCTCTAACAAAGGCCTTTTCATCACAAAAATACAGATTATGTAATGGTTTTGCAGAGTACCAGTGGACTGGTACAGTTCTGTGTACAATCTTGGAGGAATGGTATGAAAGAACTTGCACTTCAAAAACAAAATTGCCTGGTGCTTTTCACCAAACTCACCATTGTCTGAAGCGAACCGCAACTATTTATCTCATCTTAAATCTCCAATCTAAACGCTGCATAAAAGTTCTATAAATGAGTTGGTCCAAAAATGCGTGCGTCAACCTGGCTCAGTTGGTAGCAGAGGCAGTGCATATCTAATCATGTCGGGAGGACGTGCCAAGACACTGGATAACTAGTCGCTGAGCCCTTTTCCCTTGGAGTCGGTGATGAATTATCAGGAGTTTCACGTTCTTACGTTCTTCTACACCTCTTACTGTCAGTGTGGTTGTAGTTAGTGCAAGGCAGCAAGGTGTGTTCTCGTGCTTTTCAAGGGTAGAGATTTGGTTCAGGACAAAGCAGCCTTGCTTTAGGGAATAAAATACTGAAAATTTGCAAAGGGGATGGGGAAAGAGCGGGCGAGTGAGATTGATTGGGTAGTTCTTCCAAAGAGCCTAATCCTTCTGTGCTGTAATATTCCATGATTCTATGAAGTGAAAAGGTTGACATTTTCAATCGGGAGTGTTCGCTTATATAGCGGTTTCGTTGTGAGATTGGAACTAATTTAATTTTGTGACCATCAACTAATCTGCTAATGTAACTTGAATTAATATTGTCACCCGTGGGTGTACACATAGTTAGTCTGGAGACTCATCCCTTGGTGCAGGATAATGAAAGTTTCAAATCAGACTCGTTCATTTTCTGTGTTTTTTGAGGAAAAAGGATTAGTTTTAAAAGATATGCAAACTGATTCAAATTTAACACTTTTCACATTTCCTATTCCACGTAAACTTTAACCATTGCTTGCTCTTGGTTCCAACCACCAGTCTTCAGAGCATCGTGATGTGATTTGTTTTCTGTCCGATTGTTGCCTCATTTATCTCTGATCTCCATTGTACTGTAATAATAATAATTCTTGCATTTGATATAGCGCCTGATCACATCTTCGAGACGTCTCAAAGCGCTTTACATAATATACTATAAAGTGAATTGACTTTATATTTTGTGGGTGAAACGCGATAGCCAATTGCGCACAGCAGCGTCCCACAAACAGTCGTGGATTGAGTGACCAATTTATTATTATTATTTGTTTATTTAAAGAAGGGATTATTACCTCCAGAAAAGAAATCTGTCAATCGACTAACAACCGGGTCCTACTTACTGCTAGGCAAACAGAGGCGTGTGGAGTAAGAAAACTTGTCCATTTGGCCTTGCAATCAAACCAAAGTCCTCTCGCTTGCGAGGCGAGTGCTCTAACCCCTGAGCTACAGGACTTCACTTTGGCTTAAGATAATACATTCATATTGACCTTTTACTGGCAAGCAAGCACTAATATTGCAAAGTCAATGAATGGTTCAACTACCTAGTCTTTCCAAACAATGAAAAAAAACATTAAAAACGCGTGTAACTATAAATCCAATTGAAATGGACTTTAAGTTTTTTTTGGTTAATTTCACAACCCCACTGCCCACACACACACTCACAAACCCATCCCTTGGATGTGAATACTGAGAGAAGACCAACATTGATTGCTTTGCTGTTGATTTAAGCAAAACTTAAAGTGGGGTTCTGACAACATGCAAAACTTATGGATTTTTTAAAAATCAATTAAAATTTCTTGAGTATAATTGCTTTACTAATTGAAAAATCGAGTTATAGCGCTTTTCAATTGTAGAGATTTGATTCAATACAAAGCAAACTGGCTTTAGGGAATAGAATAATGAAATATGTTGTGTATATATTACATGAATCCTGCAGTGGCATTATATATTAAAAGGTTTAAATTACTTTAGAAACCTCTACATCAGGCTGCTGTCTTGAGCAACTTGTGCCTCTCATGCCATGAACTGTAGGTTATTACAATTCAGGTGGAATATAATTCATTTATAATAATCTTCCTTAGCTGCCAACGGCTTCCAGCATCTGTCTGAAGGATAACGAAAAGTCCAGCTGTAATCGTGGGGAAAATGAAGGGGAACTGGGGTGTCTTGAGCCAACATGGACATTTATTTCCAGGTGGTTATGTATGAGAGTTGGGCTTGAAGCTGAGGTGTTGCCCCTCATTATTCCAACCTCCCTGTGAGTCCGACCTACATGTTTGAAATGGAGTTGCTGCAAAAAAAAAAGCATCTTTCGAAGGGCCACAGTGTCTCACCACCTCATTACCTTACAGCAGTGTCACTGAGGTCTGTGTTCAGGTTGGTAGAGGCAGCAGCAGCCAACATGCAAAGTAAATGTCTGGAGTCCTGTAGCTCAGTGGTTAGAGCACTCGCCTCGCAAGCGGGAAACCTGGGTTTGATTCCCCTGCAGGGCGAAACATTGGGAAAGTTTCCTTGCTCCACACACCTCTCTGTTTACCTAGCTGTAAGCAGGAACCTGGTTGTTAATCGATTGTGGCGGATCGCTTTTCCAGTGGTAATAAATCCTTCCCCCCAAAAATGTGGTCACTCAATCCATGACTCATTGTGGGACACTGCTGTGCGCAGTTAGCTGCCGCGTTTCGCCCACAAAATATACACAAAATATACACTTTACAGCATATTCTATGAAGCGCCTTGAGATGTCTCGAAGAGCAGATAATAATAATAATCCTTGCATTTGATATATCGCCTTATCACGTCTTCGAGACATCTCAGAACGTAACCTGAATTGACTGGGACTATATCAAATGTAAGGATTATTATTATTATCATCAACGATTTACTCTTTATTTTCACTGGATGAATTGTAGAATGAATGTAAATTTTGCCCAAAAGGCCCACGTCTTACAAGAGCAGGTGCAGTTTGACACGCTGTTTCATAAGCTGAATAGCCCTCTCCTGCCGCAGGAAAGTTCTGTTTCAATGGTGGTTTATCCATTCACTCCATTTTAATAAAGGCTCTTTCATAATCTGCCATTGCACTTCCAAGGGATCTGTGATAATATCTTTGACAAGACATTGGCAGTCGTCCAGTTGTCTTTATATTTAAATTTAAAAGCAGTGTTTGCCATTAACTGGAGGAGTTAAGAGCTTGCTGTAAGTGTATTTTGTGCAACATTATGACAGTGACAGCTGGGACTAAACATACTATTAGACCATATGATATTACTCGTGGAGTTCATAATAGTGCACTGTAGTTCACTGTATTGTACCCAGTAATGATAATAATCCTTGCATTTGATAAAATGCCTTATCTCATTGAAAGATGTCAAAGCACTTTGCAGATAGCTGCTGTTAAATACAGTGGCTATAACATATATATATATATATATATGTTATATATTTATGTAGGTGATAGCAGCAGCCAATTTTGTTCCCAACAGTGACCCATAAACAGCCATGAAGTTGATTACTATTTTATTACAAAAAACATCTGAAGGATTGTTTGACAGGATCCTGGGACGAAACTCCCTTTTCAAAAAATACAACGCTTCCCACTTTTAAACCTCTTGATTCCTCCCGTAAATCAAAAGATATTCAATCGAGAAAAAAACGAAAACCATTGCCACCGATTATTATTGCTGACTGAACACGGATTTGCCATGACTCGAACGCTTGATGGCCCCGTGGGCCACTTCTGGCCCGTGGGCCACAGGTTGGCTACCACTGGTCTAAACTCTGAGCTCAAAGTCTCGACATCAAGCTTCAACCTTTCGACTCGGACAACCGACTGACTGAGCTAACCTGTTATCTTGTAGCAAAAGGAATATAAATTGAGAGTGGACTTAGATTTTTTTTTCAGAAATGCTGAATAAATCTGACCACATGAATAAATCTGATCCATTCACTCCATTTTACAAGTAAATTTACAAGTCTTTCACGGAGTATTTAAATCTTTTGCCAATGCTGGGGGAACGTTTGATTCAATCAACAAAAAAAAATGATCGGTCGTCATTAAATCCCCGTTTGTTCTTTGGATTGTTTAATGATTTGGCCTCTTTTTGCTTTTCAGATTAACCGAACCATCAGGATATTTAACAGATGGACCAATAAATTATAAATATAAAACTAAATGCACATGGTTGATTGAAGGATAGTAAGTATGCCTTTTTTTTTCTCTCAAGTTTTTAAAAACAAAATATGTCTGACCCATTCTACATAATTATGTACATACGGATGCAATTGTATAAATTACAATTTGTTTTGGCTCTGAAGTTTTTCCACAACTGGCTCAGTTGGCAACTTGTACAAATGTTGAATGCTGTACTTGCAGTTGGTCTTCAGTTCATTTAAAATTAAATTTGTCTTAAAAAAAAGTGTAGTTTTAGGAATTAAAAAATGCAATAAAAAATTTCTCATTCTGTTATTTTAAGAAGATCTAATCTGTAATTTGTCTACATATAATCCTTGCATTTGATCCATTTATATGTTGCATTATAGCATACAAGTTCTGCATTATTTACAGCTATTTGGATATTGCATTTTTCAAAGAATTGACGACTTTAGTAAGTTTGTGTTAACTAATGTCATTTAACATATGGCCAATGAATTCTGGCTATTTTTGCAAGTACTTCCAAGCCTTCAATGCCACATTCATTGGCTACGATGATATTTTAGTGATGAACGGGTGAAATTATAAAGAATTATACTTTGAATCGTCTCAAAGATGTGATAAAGGCGTTTATACCAAATGCAAGGATTATTATTAATGAGAGAGCTTAAAATACCAATGTGAAAATTGTTTAGTGTTTTTGATGGAAATAACTGGTTGCAAATTTTTAAATTCATGTTTCCAATGTTTTTTAACATTTGATTTCTCTTGTAGTCCAAATGCAGTATTAAGGTTAAGGTTTAACCACTTTGCTACAGAATGCAGCTGGGACCATATGTATGTATATGATGGAGATTCGATATATGCACCTTTGATAGCTGTGTTCAGGTAAGTGAGAACATTCTTGTTCAAAAGACAGTGCTTTTGAGTCTCACGTGAAATTTGTGTAGATTGTTGTCAATTTGGGCTGCATGCAACAGCAACACAAAAATGTGCAGCTTATTTGATTTAAAGATTTTAAGAGAGCTAAGGGGCGGGGGGTGGGCGTGTGGGAGCACGTTGATAGTTTCATTGTTAAATTTTATTTTATTTTTTGTGCGTGTGAGTATGTATGAAATAGACCGTTTGTGATCTTGGCTTTGTCACGCAAAAGCGACCAACTGCACAGCCAAGTGGGATAAAATGCTGATTAGCAATGCAATCACCGAACACCAATGCCCTTGTCACTTTGAAAACATTTTCTTTTACCGTTTCTTCTGTTCCCTGACGATAATTAGCTGAACAAGGTTAATGAACTGGAGCAATAACCATCAAGCCCAAGATTGCTCTCCTGCCCATACATGGCGTATGACCTGAGCCAATGGAAAAGGCCAGAATTATTTGGCAAAAATTACATGATGTTTGACGTATTCCGTGGGAGATTGCGGAGACATTTGAAACATGTTGCTCTTGCCAAGAATTAGTCGCAGGAGCTTAGTTGAGACCGGGTGAAGCCGATTTTCACCCACAGGCACAGCGTCGAGCAAACAGAAAGAGAGGCCTGAGGTCTAACACCCTGTGTGTACAGGTGTGTAGCAGAGGGCACTCTGTGTGTACAGGTGTGTAGCGGGGCATGCTGTGTGTGTACAGGTGTGTAGCAGGGCACGCTGTGTGTACAGGTGTGTAGCAGGGTGCGCTGTGTGTGTACAGGTGTGTAGCAGGGCACGCTGTGTGTGTACAGGTGTGTAGTGGGGCACGCTGTGTGTACAGGTGTGTGGCAGGGTACTCTGCGTGTGTACAGGTAGCAGAGTGCATGCTGTGTGTTCAGGTGTGTAGCAGGGCACGCTGTGTGTGTACAGGTGTGTAGTGGGGACGCTGTGTGTACAGGTGTGTGGCAGGGTACTCTGCGTGTGTACAGGTAGCAGAGTGCATGCTGTGTACAGGTGTGTAGCAGGGCGCGCTGTGTGTTCAGGTGTGTAGCAGGGCGCGCTGTGTGTGTACAGGTGTGTCGCAGCGGGCACGCTGTGTGTTTACAGGTGTGTAGCAGCGGGCACGCTGTGTGTGTACAGGTGTGTAGCAGGGCATGCTGTGTGTACAGGTGTGTAGCGGGGCACGTTGTGTGTGTACATGTGTGTAGCAGAAGGAGAGAGGGGTGATTGGAATTGGACCTGAACAAGGTTAAGCTCTTGAAAATCTCGCTTTTTTTGCAAGAGCAGTCTTTCCTTTTAAAGTAGAAAATATTTTTTCTCTCTCGTGAGAATGTGGTTAGGAAGCTCCTCCAAAGTGCACATCAAGCGAAGGTTTGTGAGATAGATTATTTAAATGAAGTTAAAGATGCATATATTCCGTACGGAATAAGGAAATCCACTTCATTCTTAGACTTGAGGGCAGAGTGCTGAATACTGGTTCACCAAAGGAGCTGCACATGGATGAAAATATTTCCATCTGAAAGGAAATTGCATCTTAAGGCCACCACACTGAGCCACGTTAAGTAACCAGTTGGCTGGTGCGAGAGTTAATCAGCTATATTCCTCTGTCAACCCAAGTAAATCCCTTGATGTGCATCTGCTTTCCAGCATCGCTCCTTATAAATGGCCTTTATAATGTCGGCAGAGAATTCTGAATAGTTTGATTGGGGAGGGGAAGAGGTAGCTCATTGAAGGGCCAGCTGAATAATAGTTTATTGAGCTAGAAGAAAGAGCTCAGTTGTGTCGATGGTGAAATGCCGAATGAAGGCTTTGCAGAACGATAACACCGACGGAAATTTCTTGAGACTTAAGAACGTAAACAAAACAAGACTTAACGGAGAACTAGAGGCAGATGATAATTTGCTTTTGTGCTTCGCCACATAGTCATATTTATATTTGAGATTTTCCAGGTATTTATAAACTTTGCTGCATTTTCCAACCTTCCCCTGGTTTGTTTTGAAAGGTTGGTTTACAGCATGTAAAGTTACACAAAATCTCAGTGTGTTTGGCTTAAAACCTGCACAGAAATTCGACTGTTTAAAGCTCCCCTCTTCATTTTATCTTGAACACAACAGCTGGGTGGGATTTCAAGTCTTCTGTTAACGTTTCCAAAGTGTTTAATTCAAAATGATAGTTGGCTTTTGTCGGGCATATTCCTGTGTAATCCGAAGTTTCAATCAACTATTTTCACCCCGTTGCTGCTCATGGTAAATTGTTTGGCAAATCCAAAATGTAGTGGTGCCTTTACTGCGAATTTGGAAAATATCATGTAAGTAAACCATCTTGATGATTTCAATACTTTTGCTGATGTAGTGAAAGCACTCGTTGCACCAATGGATGAGGCGGCCAAATAAAACTGTGTTTTCCACATCTGAAAGGTTTTTTTTAAAAAAAATGTGCAATCGGGAAGGCTATTGAAGCAGGGAGTGTAAATTCTGAATGTGGTTAAAGGAGGAGGCATTTATTGCTCTAGGGAGAGAAGGAGTTGAGTGACCGTAGTAAGAAGGGGGGTATTTTGTGCTAATTTTAGGCAAGAGTAGATCCATCATGACATCCAGCCAATCCATTCATCACCAACAGCAACTCGCATTTATATAGCGCCCCTCACACAGGGTAGCGTCCCAGAGCACTTGAAGTTTCCCACAGTGGCAGCTTTGTTGAGCCCAGTTGCTTTTTGCTGTTAAAAAGGTCTCACGAGGATATTGCTTGTGTCATGATGGGATTGTGGAACAGGAGGAATCTATGATTCAGACCCAGAATGATTGACGAAGCAGGGAGAAAAAAGTAACTATTAAGGAAGGAAGGGGACTGTTAGTTGTGAGAAACTGATGTCGGAGGAGAATTTATAGCATCACGAGACAATGTAATAATTGAAGGAAAAAGCTGTAGGAAGATATGGATTATTTTCAGGTCCACCATCTGGTGGGCAAGAAGATATGAATTGCCAAGAGCAACTTGAGGGCAGATGCCAGGATGTATTTCTTTACCCAGAGGACAATTAACAACTTGAACAGGTTGCCAGGAAGTGTGGTGAAGCCAAGACACTGGACTCATTTTGATGTTGTGTTGGGAAGTTGGTTTTTCTGGAAATTTGAGATCAAATTGACCGAAGGATGACTATTTGTAAAACAAGGAGTATACTTGTGACATGTAAAGATCTTGTAAAATTAAATGAATGTCTCGGGACTTGTACTTGAAGTCTTATCTACTCGGCAGCAAAAACATGCTTATTCCTACCAGTCATTGCATGGTTCATAAACCAATTCTTTATTTTGTCCCTTGAAGAAAATCATGTACTGCTTCAATGAAAGTGTAGAATGGGGAATTGGAGCCATTTTACGTTAATAAATTCATTTGAATTAACTTAGAAGTGACAAGGATGGCATTTGTGCTTGGCTTGACTCAGCATGAAGTATGCATTGGTCATCATAATATTCTCTCTATGGATCTCATTTAATTCATTCAGCTGAATTACGATAATCTTTAATGGCTGTGGTAGGATGTCTCTTTCAGTGAATTTTTGGTTTAGACAATTATGCAGCCTTATGTCTGATTTCCTCCCTCTTCCCCCTCCCCCTCGCGCCCCCCCCATCCCCCCCACCACCCGCTGTGATTTGTTTGTACAGTAGTTAAAATGTAAATGTATAGTCTAAATTTCAAGGGTAAAAGCTGAGGTGGTTTTAAAAAGGCAAAGAAATTAAGTACTCGGAAAGTTAAATAGATATTCTCCTCCATGCAATTCAAGACTTTGTTATTGTTAAAGGTTTGCTTGTTTGACCCGTGGAACAGTATGATCGAGGTTTTATCTTATGTTTTTGCTCCCAAAATTTCTCCTTTCTCTACCTCTATTAAGTATGAAGTTACTCGTAAATGTTAGGGAAATGACTAAAACTGTCACTTTTCTGCTATTTAAGTTGCATTTCCCTTGGATGAACATTGCATTGAGGTCAAGCCATTCATCATTATCATAAGAACATAAGAGTTTTGCTAATTATCATAAGAACATAAGAATTAAGCGAAAGAAGACCAAGGTCCATCTAGTTCGTCTTCCACCATCCTGACAGTGGCTTGACCTGTCGTGTCCCAAATTATATACTGTATCCCGAGGATATTATTTTATAGCAGAAATCTTGCTAATTTGTTCTTGAAACAAACATTTTCTGCTTCCACCATCTCCCAAGGGAGCCTGTTCCTTAAGTTTGTTACATAATGGATGTGTGCTGTTGACAACTGGATGTCCGTGTGTTCAAGTGTTTTTATCCGAAATGCTGAACTCAATACTCTTTCTTTAGTTTTAAATTTTTTTGCTCTTTTTTTCACAGTGGCCTCATAGTTCCAGAGGTACGAGGAAATGAAACCGTTCCCGAAGTAGTGACCACTTCTGGTTATGCCTTGCTCCACTTTTTTAGTGATGCTGCTTATAACTTAACTGGATTCAACATTTTCTACTCGTAAGTACATTGATATAGTAGGCTATCTAGTACAGCATCATTAGGCACTGATGCAAGTGTTTAAGATTATGAAAGGATATCAATAGCTGTTTCCACTTGTTGGACGTGTTAGATTTATTAGACAGTGTAATGGTATCATGGTAATGGTTTTAGTCGCCCTGTATAAGGCAGCAGTAGATTTGAAAGCGAGGTTCATTAAAGTGATGATGATGAGAATGTGGTCCTCACTGCTGGAAATTGAAGCAGAAAGCCTCAGCGTATTTAATAATAATCCTGCATTTGATATTGCGTCTGATCACATCTTTGAGACCTCTCAAAGAGTTTCATAGAATACACTGTATCCGAATTGACTATATCTATTGTGGGCAAAACACGATAGCCAATTGTGCACAACAGTGTCCCACAGACAGTCGTGGATTGAGTGACCAACTTATTATTATTTTTAATGAAGAGGAAACTTGATGCATGCATAAGGATAAAGGGAAGAGAGGGGTATAGGAGAAGCGATTAGGAAGGGTGGAGGCTCACATGGAGTAGGTGCACCACACGGATTAGTTGGGCTGAATAGCTTGTTTTTATGCTGTAACGTGTGATTGTAGGTAATACTGCTTTTCCCACTTAAACAAAACACTTCGCTGTTCCTCAAACCAAGCTGAAATCTAAAACATGATTGGTAATCACATTTTGGAAAAGAAAATTGTTTTATACTTGTATAATTTAGGGGCTAATGCAGAAATCATAACTACAGACGGTGAATAATTAATAATTTTCGAAATCATCAAAAGTGCTGTGGTGCAGATTTTCAAAAATAATCTGAAACTTCTATTTGTGTTAAAGCTTCCGGCACTGGAATTAATTCCATTTTCTGGTGAAAGCACATTAATCAACAAAAACAGTTGGCTCGCGAGGTGTTATATTGTGCTATGATAATTAAACATTCAAACCATGGCCAAGAAAACAAATGGCTCTGCAGTTTGCTTTGCGCTGGAGGCTGACTGACTCAGCGAACATGGAAAAGATGGTTTCTGTAGCGTACCAACTTGTACCCTGTCGGTACAGATGAAGTGCGATGAGAAACAGTGTTCGGCTCTGCTCAGAATTGGTGTCTTAAAATGTTTTGAGGAGTCCAATGGCCAGTAGTTTTAATGGACTGAATTTTGTGTTATTAAAGATGTGAATGATATTGAAATACTGTTGCTCGAACAGATTAGATATGGTTCGCTTGTGCAGTGCCAGCCAATGCAATTCGGAGCAGGAAGCATAAATTTAGCTTCACAATCCTCATTGCTCTACTGCAAACCATGGCGCTCTGTTTCCAGCAACGTAAGTTGGCAGAAGTCATGCTAGCGTTGCTTTATAAGAGGAAATTGTTTTAATGCCATTCAGCACTGGTTTGGGGCACTGGCTAAGATTTAGTTTAATCAGCAATCTATGGAAACTTGCTCTTTAACACGATTGAAAAGGCATCATGTACCTGCTGATTGACTTCGGTTGAGGGACACGAGCAGGAGTCTGTCTGCAGGCGGCTAAAATTAATTTCAAAGATTTTTGAAAAAAAAATCGTTGAAAGTGCATCATTCTCCCTGGAATAAACGGGGTGGATTGCGTGCGTGTGCAGCAAACCCTCTGTTTGATCACTCTGAAGCTGACGCGCTGATTTTTAGCCCTGTAGCCCTCGATTGCGGTCGCTATTGGAAGGGAAGGAAATGGTAGCAGTTCCCCTTTCTGATCTTGCAATAACTGAAGCAGCGAACTGTGTCCGGCAGGAAGAAAACCAGAAACATTCTGGTTTCATCGCCTGCCATTTGTGAAGACGAATGCCTTTTTATAAATGCTTCTTGTTAACTCTAAAGCCCACTGCGTTAGTTACATTTATAGCCATGACTTGTGTTTTGGAGTTTTTTTAAAATCTGCATGGATTATTATTGTGTGGGCTGTTTTGGAGGATGTAGGATTTCGAGTCAAACTAGATGTAGGATGTTCTCACCTGCGAACTGCAAACTGTATTTGCACTTTCGAGCAAGTGTTGCTGAAAAGCAATCAGCAGTGACATTTGTTTTTGAGTGCGATGGCGATACGGAGGCCAATTCCTCACTGTTGCCCTGATTGATCGACTCTTGCAGAGAGATGATTGATTCTGAGATCTTCACGGTCTGCTTCACTTAGTACCACATGACATGCAACTGATCCGTCAGGGAAGATCTTAACGTTAGCTTCGGAGAGTGTCTCAACCCGGATCTGTATAAAAGAAAAAGAGAAAGTTTCTGTATACCATGAGGAAAAGGCTGAAATGTCCTAAGTGTTTGTTTGTGATGTGTGATGGCTTTGATATGAGGGTGCCTTCACCCATGTTTGATCCACGTGTATCTGGTTGCCGCCCATCAGTCCCATAATAGCAGGTTGCTGCTGAAACATAAAGTCCTAAAATCATTGACCCCCAAAACCACAAAAGAACACATTTACACTCGTTGTACAAGTTTTATTTTAAGTTGAAGCAAGATGAGCCTCTTGGGATCTTTATACATTTCTTGAAATACAGATTTAAACGAGAGAACACATTTGTGGCCTACACAACGTTGAACAACAGCAGAAGGACTTTTATGCTTGAGTTATTATACCCGGAGACTATGTTTGAATCCCTGAGAAGACCAGATATTTAATCCCATCAATTGCTGGCAAAGCTCGGACAAACAATTGTTCCCTAGTTCATTTTTGTTTGAGCAATTGAATTGTATTGAGAAACCCTTGCTCGGCCACAATGTTTTAATCAGAACCAGATTTTTATCAACGAGTAGACTCACAGTTCAATCAGCAGGACTTCTTGATACCCCAAAGTCCTGTGTCGCAGTGTCCTGAGAATCAGCAGTAAAAAAAAACCCCTCAAAACGCATTCAGTCTGCAAATCAACACAACCACCCTGGAGGTTTGGGGATCGGGATTTTGGGAATGTGTGCACCAAGTTATTGCTATTATGGCACTGATAGGATATCTAGGTATGGTTGGCTGAAATGTGTGTCGTAACATTCTGTGAGCTCCGGTAGATATTGCGTGGGTTATATTCTCTGCTCGGTGGTAAATGTCCCACGTTTTATCGTAACGCCGATTTACATTTACATGGCGTCTTTCACATTGGGAGGATGCCTCAAAACACTTCACACGGTTAACTCGGAGCCCAAGCTGTTGGAAGCAGCTGGGCAGAACATGGCAAGAGCACAGTCGAACAGATGGGATTTAAGCTGGTTTTGAAGGTGGGGAGGGAGAGGGCAAGGCAGAGGAACTCTGGGATGGAGCTCCAGAGACCAAGTGAGAACCCGATAGCGAGGGACAGTTTTGGGTGGAAGGGTTGAACAAGATGCAGAGGTTTTGCATTGAATCCGTGAGGTGGAGTGAGCACCTGTGCAGGTTGATGGAGTGAGAGCCTGAGGTGAGAAGACATTGACGGGAGCCAAGCAGGAGCGAATCTGTTAGAACTCAACCGGTTAGACTTGATGTCCGACAGGCAATCAGTCTTGAATTCAGGGTAGGAGCAGAGAGATAAAGTCCGCGTGCGTACAGAAGGTAATTTGAGTATTTAAAACAATTTGATTATTTTTTTTGCTGGGGGTTTATTGCTGCTGCGTCTGCATTGACGGAGGATTTTTAATTTGTTCTTCTACTGAAATGAAACTTACTGTAGTCTATATTGTTGTGTAAGTAAGCATCGTAATATCAAGTGTAACAAGATATCGCAAAATGTTTGGGAGGCTTGATAATGCGATAATGATTACAGATATTCAGGTTTGCTGATGTGCGTACAATTATACTTGCATGGCAGGCCTGTGCTTGAATGTAGCTGAGAAATTTGGACGTGAATAACAACTACAACAAAATTACTTTTGTACAGCGCCTTTCACGTCAGGAGGACGTCCCAGGGCGCTGGATAGTCAGGGATCCCCACCTGAGCTGATGGGTGAGATCAGGAGGGGTGGAGGACGGGGAGGGGAGGGGTAGGAGGGTGACCGAAGGCACGGTTGAAGAAGAGGGTCTTGAGACAGGTCTTGAAGGAGGCAAGGGAGGGGGAGAGCGAGGAGGAGGGGACTATGTGATGGAGTTCCAGAGAGTGGAGGCAATGAGGCTGAAAGTTGGGTGGGTGAGTCAGGGGACGTGAAGCAGGCTGGAGCCCGCTGAGAGGAGGGAGCGGAGAGGTTGGTAGGGGGTTAGGAGGTCATAGAGGGAGGGATAAGTCAATGTATGACTGGAAAAGACCATTGGGATTCATTCGGCTGGTCCCAAATAGATGTGGGTAGAAAGCACAAGGAATCTGACGCACAAAAAACCTTGAATTATGATTTTTGCTTGAAGATGCCTTTGCGTACTGGTGCAGTCCCATTTGATTCCTGTCCAATATCTGAATAATTCAATTGGATTAAAGCTGGAGGAAATAATTTGGGTCGTGACCAATTCAACATTATTACAGCTGGTAAAACACTGCAGGTAAGATCCTCTGCAAGAAGGAGACGGGTCTTAAAATGGTAATGCTGAATTTGGGATATGTTTTCCCGAAGCGATTCTTCAAATTACAATGTTATTTTGATCACTCGTGGAGTTTTATCTGTAACACTCGTGTTCAGTGCAGATTCATATAAGCACCTTAGCTGGCAACATTCACTTGTTAGCTTTGTGTGGCTGTGCTAAGATTGTTCTAATGACTGGATAGTTGTACAGTTAGTACTTTAAGTATGCTGGAGAGAGTTCTGTGGTCGAAGAAGTAGTTATTTACTGGCAAATCTAGTATTTTGAAAGATTTCTCTGAATAGATGAACATTTGTCAAGCAAAGCCACATGGACGCAAAGTAGGTTTAATGCAGATTTAATCTCAGTTGGTGCACTACATTCGGCTTACTGCTTCTGGGTTTTGGAGGGGAAAAAAACGGCCACTATCAATAATAATAATAATCGTTGCACTTGATACGGCGCCTTATCACGTTTTCGAGACGCCTTAAAGCGCTTCACAGAATATACTGTAAAGAAAATTGACTGTATATTTTGTGGGCGAAACATGGCAGCCAATTGCACACAGCAGCGTCCCACAAACAGCCGTGGATTGAGTGGCCAAATTATTATTATTTTTTTTGAAGGATTTATTAAACCAGAAAAGCGATCTGCCAATCGACTAACAGCCGGGTTGCTACTTACCGCTAGGTAAACAGAGCCGTGTGGAGTAAGGAAACTTACCCAACATTTTGCCCTGCCCGGGAATTCAACCCAGGTGTCTCGCTTGCGAGGCGAGTGCTCTAACCACTGAGCTACAGGACTCCTATGGTTGAGTGCCTTGTTTGCACTCATGTTTGCTACAAAATGGTGATCAGACGTTTGAGGTCAAACTCTGGAGGAAAGGATGGGAGAACAAAATTACTGGCTGGTGTCAATGTGTTTAATATATCTCACTTGTACCAGACGGATTAATGTAATAAAAACAATGGTTATTTTACTCAGATTTAAAGTGGTCTCAAATTCATTGCATTATGTTCAAAAGCAATAAATCCAGTTGCTTTTGATCACATTACAGTGTATCAAGCAGTCATTATTTTATATAAATAATAATAATCCTTGCATTTGATATAGCGCTTTTCACGTCTTCTCAACTTCTCAAAGCGCTTCACAGAATAGACTTTAAAGTGAATTGATTGTATATCTGTGGGCAAAACACGGCAGCCAATTGTGCATAGCAGTGTCCCACAAACAATCGTTGATTGAAAATGACCAATTTATTATTGTATTGTTCTTTGGAGGGATATTATTAGGTGTGTGGAGTAAGGAAACTTGCTCAAGGTTTCGCCCTGACGGGAATTGGATCCAGGTGTCTCTGCTCTAACCACTGAGCTACAGTAAATTGAGCCAACTTGCTTCATTTTATTGAATGGCAGAAAATGTTTTTCAAAGGGAAAGTGGCTGAATAGCAGCAACGAAGCTTAAATGTATCGTGTGGCGTTTGCACAACGTTTCTAAACCTTTTTGTGTCATAAGTAGGCACTAATGAATACCATAGAATTACCATAGTTTGACTTGTACAGCACACATTCCAGGACAGAATGTTTTACTCTTCGGATCGCATTTATTGCCAGATAGATAGATAGATAGATAGATAGATAGATAGATAGATAGATAGATAGATAGATAGATAGATAGATAGATAGATAGATAGATAGATAGATAGATAGATAGATAGATAGATAGATAGATAGATAGATAGATAGATAGATAGATAGATAGATAGATAGATAGATAGATAGATAGATAGATAGATAGATAGATAGATAGATAAGATAGATAGATAGATAGATAGATAGATAGATAGATAGATAGATAGATAGATAGATAGATAGATAGATAGATAGATAGATAGATAGATAGATAGATAGATAGATAGATAGATAGATAGATAGATAGATAGATAGATAGATAGATAGATAGATAGATAGATAGATAGATAGATAGAGCGAGCATGTGACACAATCTGTTTTCGTCTGTTTTCACAACTGGAGAAAATCTCATTCAAATCTATTCTCTGCAGTACAATACATGATTTTATTTTAAGAGGGTGAGGGAAGTTGGAAAGCTGCAATATTCAAGTTGCGTATATTCTCGAGGTAAGTTTTGCACCTTTTTTTTGCAATTTTGCTTTTTTTTAAAAAAATATCATTCTCGCTTTTTTTTCAATAAAGGATCAATTCCTGCCCAAACAATTGCTCGAGCCATGGCAAGTGTGTCACTGGAAGTACGATGGGCAGAGTATTCTGTGAATGCGATAATTATTGGAAGGGCGAAGCTTGCGATATTCCTTACTGTAAGGACAACTGCGGGAGCCCCGATCACGGCTACTGTGACTTAACGGGAGAGAAACTCTGTGTCTGCAACGACAGCTGGCAAGGTGAGTTGATTAAACGTTACCTCTTTGAATGAGCCTTTGGACCCACCTCTCCTGTTGCTCGGTGTCTAACCGTGTCCCTGTGAAGCTCTTGGCTTAGATACTACATGTTGCTTCCCACGGGCTCGGGTCCTAATCCCTGATTGCCCAGCGCCTTGGGACGTCCCGACGTGAAAGACGCTTTACAAATGTAATTTAGCATCATATATGATGGCAAGTGGTTACTACAGCCACAGAATAAAGTGCTGTAGGCATTTCACTTTCGAGGTATGAGGTCAGTAAAGTGCATGATTTGTGCATGTTTCAAAACTAAAGTGGCTGAAAAGAGTTCCAAAAATTTGGATGCACTTGTGTGACAAGGGGCCTTGAGATAAAGCAGTGCCGCATTTAGCTTGAAGTCAGTCAGCCGCCTCGTAAAGCAAAGACCAAACAGGTTCATGAATGGTATTATTGTTCCCTGGTGCATTCGATAATTTTCATTAAAAAGTTCCTTGTCAAAGGGAGAAAGGCTCTTGGACCTGAGCCACCAAATTCTCAACATTTCCTCGCTTTAAGGAGAAGTGACAGTGCTAAAGGATGATGTTATCACTCCTTGCGTAATTCCAGCTCTTTATTGCTTCTACTCGGGCGTTGAAAATGTGTGGCGTACAGTCACTTTTTCAAACTCGAATCCTACATTATAAGAAGAGTTTTTTTTGGAAAGAAAAACAGAATTCTCAAGTTTGATGTGCTCTGTAACCATTTCCACTAGACAAACGCACGGGAATGTAGTGACTGATTTATTGAATTAATGCCAATTCACAGAATGCTTAACATCTAATTATTGTCAATCCACTGGCACCTGCTCTTTGGAGTTGGTCGCTGCAGAAATCTCATGACCTATTGTATAAATGTGATGCGTTTTTCTACCTGTTTAATTCAGAGTGAATTGTCAGGTCACTGAAAATACTAATTGGGATCTTTGTGAATTGAAAGCTTATTGAGATTCTCTTTGCAAACAATCTTTGAATGTGGCTGGACAGGTTGATGAAGCTGTTAAAAAAAAGCATGCGGGCTACTAGGCTTTTTGAAATAGGGGCATGGAATACAAAAATCAGGAAGTTATGATGAACCCTTATAAAACACTGGTTAGGCCTCAGCTAGAGACTGTGTTCAGTTCTGGACCCCACACTTTAGAAGGGATGTCAAGGCATTGGAGAGGGTGCAAAGGAGATTTACCAGGATGGTACCAGGCATGAGGGGCTTCAATTTTCAGGCGAGGCGAGAGAAACTAGGATTATTCTCCTTGGGACAGAGAAGGTTAAGAGGCGACTTAATGGAGGTTTCCAAAAGGATGAGGGGATTCGATAGATCATAGAATCATAGAGTTATACAGCATAGAAGGAGGCCATTCGGCTCATCGTGTCTGTGCTGGCTCTTTGAAAAGAGCTTCCAAATCCATCCCACTTGACCCTGCGTGGAGGGCGCTATATAAGTGCAAGTTGTTGTTGATAGGGTGAACAAGGAGAAACTATCTCCACTGGCGGATGGGTCGGTAACCCGAGGACACCGATTTAAAATAGTTGTTAAAAGAAACAGAGGGGAGGAGAAATGTTTTCACACAGTGAGTTGTTGGATCTGGAATGCATTGCCTGAAAGGCTGGGGGAAGCCGATTCCATAACAACTTTTAAGAGAGAAGTAGATCATTATTTGGGGATGACAAGTTTGCAGGGCTATGGGGAGAGAGCGGGGGAGTGGGGTTGATTTGGACAGCTCTTCAAAGACACGATGGGCTGAATGGCGTCCTTCTGTTCTGGATAATTCTGCGATACTATGATCTGTGTGTTTAGCTGCACTGATTTTGATGGCATAACTTTCCCATTAGCTTGTGGTGTGCAGGACCTCTGTTGGTGTTTTCCGTGGAAAGCAGGTTTGAATTCTGTTGGATCAGTTAGTACATCGGTGCCTCTTAATTTTCTCCTCTTGGAGGAGGTGACCCTTTTGAAGGTTGAGTTCTGATACCTTACTGAAGCGGCTGTTTATCATAAACACGTGAGCCCAGCCAGTGAGGACCAGCCGGTGTCTTGTGTTTTATTTTGCCATCGTCGCTGTCATTTTTCAGGAACCGCAATAACAAATTGCAATCGTTAGACCAGAGCAAAAATAAGTGGCCCAGTGAGATAGGTCAGTGAGAAGCCGAGCCTGGTGGAGCAGGAAGAATCCAGGTCCAATGCTTGCTTTATTTGGGCTGGGGTTAGCCAAGGTTAGCTCAGGAAGCAGAGGCACCACAAAGGCCTTGGGTTGGGTTGGGGGAAATTATAAGAGCCAGGGTTTTAGCTGATGATAACGCTAATAATAATAATCATAATAATCCTTGCATTTGATATAGAGCCTTTTCACGTCTTCGAGACGTCTCAGAGCACTTCACACAATGTACTATAAAGTGAAGTGACTATATTTTAGTTTGAATGACCAAATTATTTTTAATTATTTATTTTGAAGGAGTCATTACCCCCCCCTTCCTACTTGCTGCTAAGTAATCAGAGGCGTGTGGATCAAGGAAACTTGCCCAACGTTTCGTCCAGTCCGGGAATCGAACCCGGGTCCTCTCGCTTGTGAGCCGAGAGCTCTAACCACTGAGCTACAGGAATCCACATAGCTAAAGTAGATAACTTTGATGGTGGCTAGCCAGGGGCCGGAAGCACACCCATGTCCAAGTTGGATGTGACCTTATTGTATGTGACTATATTGGCTCCCTCCCATGTAGCGAACGTCAACATTTACACGTGTGAATAATACACTCTTGGACAAGTTACCTTGAGGGTGTCTGACACTTCGGAACCTTCAGGAAGTTATTAAGAACTTTCCAGCAAAAAGAGAGGGGCGGAGGGAGTTAAGTGCCTTCAGGCGAATAACAACAGCCGTCATTTACTGTGATGTTCTTGCTTGTGTGTGTTATTTTGGTCCGTAGCCAAAATTATCAGCACAACGTTTGAATTTAATGAGGCTACTTTGCCATTGGCCCATTTTCGACTGTGTGTTTTGGACAAAGAAGTGAATACATTTTTTTAATCTGATAGCATTGCTCGCTCTTAATACTGTTGATGTTGACTGATCTGGGGAGCTCTGCAGATGGTGGATGAAGTTGATGCGAGAACACTTGCTTTTGTCCCTGGCCCCAGTATCTTGGGACGTCCTCCCGACTTGAAAGGCGCTATAGAATTGCAATCTTGTTGTTATCGTTGGTGGTGGCTTGGGAGAAGTTGCCTGAATGCTTAACCATTGCTGGTGCTCCTGCAGATTGCTGCCTTGCACACAGTTGCTGGGTGAAACCCATCTTTTCTCCTCTTCTCCACCACTCCCCCATCACTTCCCCCTCTCCCCCTTCTCTTCCCCTCCTGCCCCCTTCTCCTTCCCCCTCGCCCATCTCTTTCCCCCCCCCTTCGCATCAGAATTACTGTGACACGATTTTCTTTTTCGTCAGCTAGCCTACATAGATCACAAAGTCAAATTTCATCTGCATCCAGTATCCTTCTCATAGGTGCAATCAACAAACACAGGCTGACCTGCAATGGACAATTCTCTGTGACACCTGTGGATGCTCTTCGTTCAGTTCTTATCTCTATCTTTGGGAGATTCCAACAATTTTATTTGTAGCTCCCTTTTTGGGTACGATTTCTACCAGGGATTTGAATGTGGCGTTTAATCCCAGAAAGGGTTTGTGGATATCCAGGAGATTCATCAAGTGGTATATTCACAATGTGTTTGATGCAGTGTGGAGGCTGTGGTGGCTTAATGATAATAATTATAATTCACATAATAATTCATAATAATAAAGATCTCGAACAACACCAACAACAAGATTCCATTTATAGAGCGCCTTTCACGTCGGGAGGACGTCCCAAGGCGCTGTACAGTTGGGTCAGGACCCGAGCAGGGGGGGAAATGGTCAGGGTGAGGGGAGGGGAGGGAAGGGAGGGAGAGAGGAGGGGGTTGAGAGGGGAGCTGAAGGCACGGTCAAAGAGAAGGGTCTTGAGACCTTGAAAGAGGAAAGGGAGGAAGCGGCGAAGGCACTGGGGATAGAGTTCCAGAGCCAAAGTAAAGCATTGATCCAAAATACCATCAAGCTAACAGAAACATTCGACTACATATTATCATTAAATTCAACCCTAGATGGACTTGATGATAATATCAGAGAATCTGATTCAATATAACAATCTGGCTAAATATATTCACTGGGCAATTTTGTGAACCCTTTAATATTGATGTAAAGACCAACTGGAGTGAACATCAAAGAGCAAAAGTGTTCTCGAAAAATCTCATTACAATAATCTGGGACTCACAAGTACATACAGATAGAACAGTAATCTGTAACTAACCGGATATTATCATAAAGAACTAAATAGATTATACATGTAGTGCTATTGATGTGGTTGTCCCAAGTGATTACAACATAAGAAATAAGGAACTTAAGAAGATCAGGAAATATATCAATCTACACATTGAAGGCGGATATCTGTGGTAGTATAAAACATAGTTATAATAATAATATCCTTACATTTGCTGTAGCCCCTTATCACGTCTTCGAGACGTCTCAAAGCGCTTCACAGAATATACCGTGAAGTGAATTGACTGTATATTTTGTGGGCAAAACGCGGCAGCCAATTGCGCACAGCAGCGTCCCACAAACAATTGCGAATTGAAAGACCAAATTATTATTATTTTTTAAAATAATTTTTTTTAAGGAATTATTGCGCCCGGAAAAGCAATCCGCCAATCGACTAACAACCGGGTTCCCACTTACTGCTGGGTAAACAGAGGCGTGCGGAGTGAGGAAAGTTACCCAACATTTTGCTCTGCCCAGGAATCGAACTTAGTTCTTCTCGCTTGCGAGGCGAGTGCTCTAACCACTGAGCTACAGAACTCAACTTCCTATGATTATTGGTTAACTAGGATGGTTAATAAAACTATTCAGTTATGGCTTGACAAAATACCAAAGTGAACCATATATCAACCTCCTCCTCCAAATATCAAACATTCCTGTAACGGGGCAGTGATATTGGTCTGGCTGACTTAAAACCACTCAGAAATACCTCTACAGAGTGATTTTCAAACCGCAATAACATAATTAACAATAAATAATTAATAATAAGTATTTGTATTTGATAGAGCCCTACAATCACAACAATTAATGCTTCCGATCCTCTGCCCAATTCACCTCACCAACAGTGAGCGAGCTTTTCAGCCAACCTACCCCCTGTTGTGGAACTCCAACTCCCGAGTTCCTCTGCTTCCCTTTCCCCTAACGCCGTCGCTTTTGAAGCCACTTGGAGAACTATTTCTTTGACTCCACTTTGAGTTACCTTCAACTCTTCCCCCACCGACCTCCACCACCCACAGCTCCGATGTCCAGTCAGCCGTGTGGGAAGCGCTTTGAGATGTGACGAGGCTCTATATAAATGTAAATTTTATGCAAGATGGCTCCCTGCCCCACGTAGGTAAAATTGTTAAGTGAATCGACTGTGCATTTGTTGGCGAGGTTCATCCTCGACCTTGTGTGATTAACTTTTTTATGACAGTCATCACGGTAATTTGCATGCTTTTTCAGTTTGCTTGATTGAGCTGCACGTAACCTGCTGGTCCAATTAATTGCGGATCTGGAATGCCAAATAAGATTTTTGCCTTGGTATGTCATGTTCAGCTGTGAAAAGGGTAAAGCAACTGAATGGGGAACAGAATACATCACGTCGACTCTCTCTTGTGCCTTCAAATGCAAGTGCTCTTGAAGCAATTTGCGTCTGGGGTGGGGGTGGGAGGGGAAATGTTCATTGCGTTTACTTTCAACTCAGCACCGTACAATGACCGAAATGCAGGACGAATTTATAGCATTTCCACTCCAACTGAATCGCTTGACTATAATTCCTGTGAAAGATTAACATTCTGTTTAGACTTTAGTTTAGCTTCTCGCAAGAAGCATTAGTGGGCCTTTCAAAGAGTGTTCTGTTGGCCTCTTGATTTGGTTCATTTACTGGTGAAGTGCTGTACTGAATTGACAACGCTGCACTCCACCAGGATTACACTGCAATGTCAGTCTAGACTATGAGCTCAATATCCTGATGTGGGGCTTGAACTTGCAATCTTCTGTCTCGGGGAGAGGAGTGCAACCACCTGAGCCCTGTTAATTCTATTTTCACGTTAAAATAATAATTGAATTTAATTGGAGCTCGTCGCTGTGGTAAATCCTTAATATTCACTGTAACTCAGCTATTATTTTATTTAATACGTTACTACTAAAGCCTTAAACGTGGTAATTGACTGACTTTTTTCTAATCTGCCTGTGTTGCTGTATTAATTGTCTTGTCACTGTATTGTACCCTGTGAGTTAACTCTGCAGTTCGGCTGCACCATCATGTGGATGCCAATGCCTACAGCAGCATGTGTAACTCACGGACATCGCTTTTTTCAGATTCCTTCCTGCTTAACCGTATTATCACAGAAGGTTTTAATTCCCCAGGAATGTTTCTTTATCCTCCCGTGTGTCTGCGCGTCTAAAAAAAATGCAAATAATATCTTCCCAGACCCCGACATTTCCATCCATTCTAACACTTGTGAAGGCACTGCTGTGTGCAAGTTCCCGTCATAATATAATAATCCTCGCATTTGATACACCGCCTTATCACGTCGTCGAGACGTCTCAAAGCGCTTCACAGAATACACTAAAGCGTATATTTTGTGGCGAACCACTGCAGCCCATTGCGCACAGCAGCGTCCCCACAAACAGTCGTAGATCGAAGTGACCAATTTATTCTTATTATTTGTGTAAAGTGAATTGACTGTGTATTTTTGTGGGCGCTACTTGAGACTAGAGCAGCGTTCTCACTGTGCGATGTTTCAGTAGAAAGGCAGATAAGATCATTCCAGTGGAACCTCTTTCGAGGTGTCCGAAACGCTTTCTGTAACGGTCTGGTTCTCAGTCTTGCTGTCTTGCAAATTAAGTCTTTTAATTAGAGCCCACCGCCATCTGCTGAATTGCTTCCTGCTACCCTTTGTATAAGCTGTTTGATAAGTGGGGGCAGATGATCGGATAATGCCGAATTCCTTTGTTCATTTTAATTTTTGTATGCGGTGGAAACCCGTGCTTCTGTTCTCTTTCAAAAATGTTAATACCAATGCATTTCACTCCTTCTCTCAACGGTATCGCATTGTAATCGATCAAAAGGCGTCTGCTTAAAACAGCCCACGGATTAAGTTATCAATCACGCCCAGCGTCTGCTGGCTGTAGAGAAGATGTGCGGCAGAGAAGCAAATCCACATGGCACTGAAGTTACAATCACATAGTCCAGTCAGATTTTAGTTCAGTTGATTGTAATTCAATCCTGGGAGCTCTCCGTCACCAACTCCCGCTTGCCCTCGGGCAAGTCAAAATAAGGCAACACAGAAACTACTGTGACATCAAATTAACTGAAAGGGACATTAAATTCCCCCCACCCCACTAAACTTCACGATTGTATTTTCTGCTGGATTAGGTTTGAACCCCTTCTGGGCATTATACTGTCTCGGTTTGTGTTGATAAATATCTCAGGTGGGATGCTCAAGAAAGAGGATTTTCAACATCTTTCTTTAGGGCTTATCCTGGCATTATCTGCCTCTCCAGATAATGGCTGGTAAAAAAGGTGTGAGTTTTTAACTGATTTTTAGTTATTGCAAAGATATTTTGAAATGCCTTGGAATATATGTTTCGTGAACCAAAGATATTTGAGAATGTGGATCTTTTGATGTTTTTTTTTACATCAGAGTTTGAAATCTTCCAACACTCGTTTTGCCTATAAATTGTGCCGCTCGAAACATTGAGGTGTAAAACTCTGGGGATTGCTGAATCTGGACATAATAATAATAATCCTTGCATTTGATATAGAGCCTTATCTTCAAGACGTTTCAAAGCTCTTCACAGTATACACTGTAAAGTGAATTGACTGTATATTTTGTGGGCGAAACGGGGCAGCCAATTGCGCACAGCAGCGTCACACAAACAGTCGTGGATTGAGTGTCCAAATTATTATTATTATTTTTTTTGAAGCGATTATTACCCCCAGAAAAGTGATCTGCCAATCGACTAACAACCGGGTTCCTACTTTCTGCTAGGTAAACAGAGGCGTGTGGCGTAAGGAAACTTGCCCAAAGTTTCATCCCATCGGGAATTGAACCCAGGTCCTCTCGCTTGTGAGGCGAGTGCTCTTAAGAGCTAAGTTGGCGGGACTCCACTGCGTGATGTGAGCCTGTCAGTTACTATATACAGTCAGGTAGCTTTGGATCTAACCTGCTGAGTGGCTTTGTAATCCAGAATGGATCTCTTGTGAGCCGGAAGAGGAAACAGAAGAAGATGAAAGAACTTTTCAAAATGTTGGAACCAGGTTCTGTTAGATTAAAATCTAAAATGGTGTAAATTTAACTTGGTAGGAAGTGTGGTGGTCGGTAAAATTTTAAAAATATTTATACTTCATTTATTTCCCCCTTCCCTGCTTTTAAAGCTTGCCTCGAGATTTGCCTCCTTTGGAAAACGTGACCACCTTCATCTGTTTTGGTCATCGTTTGAATCCATTAGATTCACTGGGGGTCTAAGTAAATGGATGGACAACTGCAGGTCGGAATAAAGATCACAGTGAAATAACCTTTTGCTTTGTCTCCAGGGCCTGACTGTTCTCTGACTGTCCCATCTACCGAATCGTACTGGATATTGCCAAATATTAAACCCGTTAGCCCAAGTGTGAGCCGGGCATCCCATAAGGCTGTTGTACACGGGAAGTTTATGTGGGTGATTGGTGGATACACGTTCAATTACACTTCGTCCCAGATGGTCCTTCAGTAAGTATGTGGTTTACGTTGAGTCTTTATTGTCTCGCATTAATGATTATCGTCAGGACAAATGGTGCAACAGCGTGCGTTTACCCTTCACATGAGGTAGCTTCCTGGAGCACTTCACACTGACGGAGTCTGATAATGAGCCGGGGGGGGGGAGAGGGAAGGGGGAAAAGGAAAGTCTTCAGGTAGGGAGGGAGGGGGCAAGGCGGAGGGATTGAGGGAGAGGTTCGGGGTGTAGTGACTGAAGGCACGGCCACCGACGGTGAAACGGAGGGCACGAGGGACAAATAGGAGGCCGGAGCTGGCCGAGCAGGGGGCAGCGGGTGGTGGAGTGGGGGTTTTAAGCAGGTCAGACAGGGAGGGAGGTGGGAGGGCATGAAGTGATTTGAAAACGAGTGAGAGGATCTTGAAATCGACATTGATGCAGATTGATACACTGCACCATGGTTATAAACTATTCTGTGATGTGTTTCAGCAGCCTGGTGCCCAAGCTTTGTATTTTTCCAAATTAACAATTCACATTGAACTTGTAGAGGAGTTGGAAACTCAAACTAGTCTGATAATTACATTCCAGTTATGAGTGTGAAATAACGACTATTATACAATGGATATAAATTTGAGAAATAGTAATATTTTAGGCAACCTTGGAAAGTTCAGCTACAGATTTATATTTGGGCACATAGAAAGTTGCACGTGATTGCAAGTCTTCTGTGTTTTTTGAGTGGGAGGTTGGGGAGAGAGGAAGGAAAAAATTACCATATAATCCACACTATTTGGAATAATAAACATCATAATAATCCTTGCATTTGATATCGCGCCTTATCACGTCTTCCCAACGTCTCAAAGCCCTTCACAGAATATACTGTAAAGTGAATTGACTGTATATTTTGTGGGCGAAACGCGGCAGCCAATTGCTCACAGCAGCGTCCCACAAACAGTCCTGGATTGAGGGACCAAATTATTATTTATTGATTTATTTATTTGAAGGGATTATTACCCCCGGAAAAGCGATCTGCCAATCGACTAACAAACCGGGTTCCTACTTACTGCTGGGTAAACAGAGGCGTGTGGAGTAACTGAATAAAAGAAGTGAGTGGAATATAGAGTAGGTGGCACCACTGTTTGTAGGTTATGAGAAGGGGGTAACCTTAGAGCTCAAATGATGGATGGTCAGGACAATGGTTTTATTTACAACCTGATCTTCGCTGCTTAAGCATCTCACGCTATGCAAAGGCAAAATCAGCAGCAATGTCATGACAGTGTTGCTGAAGCATGTCAATCTTGACTGTTTATATAGACTGTTATTTCCTAAAAGGCCAATAACTGGAATGTTTTAGCTACACTTGCGAATGTGCATTAGAAAACTGAGGGAAGGAATGCTTTGGTTCGTATCACTCAGATACACGTAGCTTATTAATTATTGTACAGCATTGATGGGGTGTGTGTTTGTTCCAGGTATGACTTGGAAAGCAATAGATGGACTGGGGTACTTGTCACCAGTTTTATGAGACCACTTGCTAGGTATGGACACTCTCTAGCATTATATCAGGTAAGAACAGAATTTTTTTTACCTTTTTTAAAACAGATTGCGAATGAATTTGCTGAGAGCAAAATCACCTTAAAGTAAAGGGTAAAGGATTACAAAATTCAGGCCACAGAAGGGAACTAACTTTTCAAAGAGTGGCAAGTCACACGCTTGAAATACCTATTTCTCAACACATCCTAATTCTTAACTTCTGATTTCTAATACACTGGCAAATAGACTTTTGGATACATAGTGCCACTGGGAGGCAGTAATGCATCGCAAATGTACACAGCCTTGAATTGAGAGGCTGCTGGTTCAAGAGATGATCGAAGTTGGGCACATTCCACATTCAAGCTATTGTTCGTTATTTTTTATTTTTGTTTCAAACGCGCATTATCCCTTGGAGAAAACTTTTCTGACTTTAATAAAGTTTTGCAGCCGAACAATTTTGGGGGTTTTAAATGAAAATCCTTCAGTTTTCCTGATCTGCGAATTGCTCCGAATTGCATTCGGTTTGAACTGCCCATNAAAAAATGCACTACAGTGTTAATATTTTTACAGCCAAATTGAGATGCATTCATTGGATTCTGTGCATAAATTATCCATTGAAACAAGAGGACATGCAATGTCATGTACTGTTTTTTTAATCCCAAGTGTTTGGTAGAGACTTGTTGCAATTTTGACAGTGGGTTTCTACACCAAACTCACAGTATAGACCAGGTCTAAACCTGAGTGAATCCTGGAAGAGGTGTTTAGCTACGAGACAGTATAACTCTGGTGGAAGCAAATTGCACAGGGCTCACTCCTCCATGTTCCATTAAATCTCAGCTGTCTGTTGGATAATCTGTTTATTAATGGTATTAAAGAGCGTTCGTACAATGAGCTCTTTAACCGCAATAACGTGTGATTTTCATGTCCTTGGTTCATGGACTGTTCGACATGTCTGGGCCACGCAAACTTTATGCCAATGTGGTTTGAAGGACTTTTTTTGTTTTAAGAAAGAAAAGTAGTGACCTGTTGTCTACATTTTAGTAGGGTGGTGTTGGTGCTCCTGAGGGGAAAGGGTTGTTAACTGATCTGTCAGGCCTTTCAATATGTGTGGAACTTTCAAAGAGTTTTTGTTAATTATTAAACATTAAGCACTCGGAATATATACAGAGGAGATCTGGTAATAGGCAACTTTTTTGCCTTTATTAAGATCGAAGGGAGTTTATTTACCATTTACAGTTGTACCAGTTTTCTTTGTTGTTTTTCACCTTTAATGAATTAAAAGTTTCTCTGATTGTCCTGGATTTTGAATTATTCCCAGTACTAATTTGCCAACGGGAGCCCAAGACTGGTTTGCACAAAATCGCCACAACAACAGCAACTTGTGTTTATACAGCTCTCCTTCATGGGGATATCGTGTCTCAGAGCGCACACAATCCACTGGCCATTCGCTGGAAATATTATTTTATTGCACATATTACTGTTATGTGGTTGTGCGGCACTTTTGTTTCGACGGCAGGAGAAATGGCAGGTCCAGTAACGTGTCTTTGAACTGTGTGTCTTGGAACATTTGGGACTTCAACCACTTTGGTGATTTTGAAGCTAGAATTTTGCACAGTGCAGCAAATACACGTCCACAGCACATTTGGGAGGAATGTGTGGGGAGAGTGAATGATTGATAGTTAACCCTTCCTATGAAAGGTTACTTTCATGAGTTTTTTTTAAAAAGAAAGAAAACGTAAAGTTTTTGACCTATTTTCCAAGGGGACCTTGTTAACCTAAGAATTTAAGCAGCTCTGTGCCTTTTTTTGTCGCGGACAGTAACTTTGATCTTTTGGGGGCGGTGGGGGGGGGGGGTGGGGGAGAATTCAAGCAACTGAATGTGCAATGACCCTACGCATCAAAACTGTCGACATTCAGCTTCCAGTCTTTAAGTTATTTCAGTGAAACTGAAAACTGGAAGTAAATGGCTACCAGCATCCGTGTGTGTGTGTGTGAGAGAGAGAGAGAAAGAGAGAGGTTAATGGTTCCAGGAACAACACTTCAGTGGAGTTGGAAGAATTGGACTCTCCCAGAACCTTTTATAGAATTGTCAAGTGCTCTGGAACGCTAGCCTGCGTGAGGGGCGATGTATGAATGCAAATTGTTGTTCTATACAAATAAAATAATAATCCTTGCATTTCATATAACGCCTTATCGCATCTTCGAGACATCTCAAAGCGCTTCACAGGATTTACTGTAACGTGAATTGTCCATGTATTTTGTGGGGGAAACGCGGCAGCCAATTGCGCACAACAGCATCCCACAAACAGTCGTGGATTGAGTGACCAAATTATTATTTTTTAAGAGCAGATGGGACAGCACGGAGACCTCTAGCTGTATCTTAGAATACGTAATCACGATCCTGACCTTCCTAGCACTCGGACTCCCAGTCTAAGATAACCTTTCTATCTCAGACCTTCTACAATTGCTGCAAACCAAGCTGAACGCAAACCTCTGGGGCAGTGTCTCACTTTCCTCATGGGCGCTATTCAGTCTCTTGGCGAATGGTTTCAAATGCCAACTGGCTCTTTCATTTTTCCACCAAACGGGTTTACTGCTAATTTCTAGTCTGCATTTCCAGCCTATGGTTTACTAAGCCCCTCAAGCCCCCTCAAGTCTTTAAGAGGATTTCACCCTCATCATGTAACACTTTGAGGTGTGCCCAATTTACTTAGTCGCTCCTCTTAGTGAGGACTACAATGAGCGGCTCAGTAAATTGGGCATCTTCACGCTGGAAAAGAGAAGATTGAGAGGCAACATGATTGCTATCTTTAAGATTCTAAAGGGGCAAAACAATGTAGATCATGCCAGGCTGTTCCAACTTGTCCAGAATAGTAAAACCAGAGGACACGGCCTGCGATTGAAGCGGGGAAATTCAGAACGAATCTATGAAAACACTATTTCAGTGAGCGAACAGTAAACCTGCGGATCAGGCTCCCTAGGGAGATGGGTGAAGCTGGAAATGTTGTCTCCTTCAAACTCAGATGAGATAGTTTTGTTTTAGGAAATAACATGATGGGATATAGTACAGAGGGAGGTTGGGGCATATGTGCATGCGTCCACCAGGAAGGTGGAAGGCAAACTAGATGGACTTTGGTATTTTTTTTTGGCTCCATTTCTTATGTACTTTTAGACCCACTCGGCCTGTCACAATTTAGTTATAAATAATAATAATAATCCTTTCATTTGATATAGCGCCTTATATTATTATTATTTATATTGAGTCTCCTATTGCCTTTGTAGCGAGTTGCCTCGTTCCAGAATGAAATTTTTTTTTGGGGGCAATTTTCTGCCTTTATTTTGGAAATCCGTTTATTTGCTTGATCCCTTTGATAAATTTCATCACTGCGTTCTGTCTGAAATTCAAACGAGTTTAATTTTGTAATTAACATACAGATAAGTATTTCTATCATACGGGAGACTGAATTCATCCAGTGTTCACAAACAAACAGCGCCTCGCAAACAAAAGCAACAAAATGGGGTTTTGCCCCATCCAGGAACCGTTCACATTTTTTTTAATTGTAGATTTGATTCTCGTATAAAAAATGTGTTCAATAGAGGTATGAATGCTCATGCAAATGCCTGTGAGAGATAATTCAAATGCAGTTGTTTTTTGATGGATATGAGGTTCTGTGTATGAATCCAAATATACATCGCCAATTAACACGCACAATTTTCCCTGCTTTGTGACACTTCTATAGAAATTATTTCTGCTTTTTGTACACTGTATAATTTTCGCCCTTTGCCATTCTTCCACGCCTTGAAAATCGTTTACGTTTTTAATAATGGTAATTATTTCATAATCGCCGAATGTTCCAAAATCGACACATTCATTGTTGCACAAATTATTTTAAAAAGTAAAATATTTGGAGCAGAAAATTTATTGTTGATGGATGTAAATTGTTATCAAGTACGTGTGCGGGATTCAAATAAAATATTTGCATTAGGAGGAGTGAGATTATGGTCTGAACAGAAGAGGTCTTATGACCTTTTTTTAGACTGAATTTTGAGATGATTTTCATGAACTCAGGCAGTAGCCTGGCTCACTTGTTAGCTTTCTTGCCTCCGAGTCAAAAAATTGTGGGTTCAATCTCTAAATTGGGACTTTATAATAATAATAATAATCCTTGCATTTGATATAGCGCTTTTCACGTCGGGAGGACGTCCCAAAGCGCTTCACAGAACACACTGTAAAGTGAATTGACTGTATTTGTGGGCGAACGCGGCAGCCAATTGCGCACAGCAATGTCCCACAAACAGTCGTAGATTGAAAATGACCAATTTACTATTGTTTTGGGTTTTTGGAGGGATTATTATTAGGCTCTGTGTGGAGTAAGGAAACTTGCCCAAGGTTTCGCCCTCTGCCTGGAATTGAACTCAGGTCTCTCGCTTGCAAAGCGAGTGCTCTAACCACTGAGCTACAGGACTTTGAGCTCATAGTCTCGACTGACACTCCAATGCAGTGCTGGGAAAAGTATTGCATTGTCAGAGGTGCGGTTCTTCAGCTGAGATGTCATCGGTTTTTATTAAAAATCCCAAACGAATTTGCTCTTAAAATGGTGGCAGGTGTTACCTCATTGTCTTACTATACCATACGCCTGGGATTATCCTCAATTGTTAATGATCAACACCTTCATGTTTTAGGTGCTCCCAGTTTTTTTTTAAAATTAAAAAAAATTAAAAAAACAAAAAACTTGGAAACTGTATGGTTTCCAAACTCCATCGTACAATATTGTAGTGTCAGCTGCTCTGTGCTTCACAGGAGATTATAAAGTACATTGATGTTACATTTGAGTGTCTATTATTTCTTGAGACAACCTGAAAGTGAAGCGGGCTGGATAATTCACCATCGAGGCAAGCAACAGGGCAAAGTATAATTTAGTTAAAGAAAAAGATTTGCTGGAACGTTAAATAAATCTGAAATTGCAACATTGCATTGGTACATTGGGGGAAAAACAGTTTCATCATTCAGTAGCAAAAAAGGGCTGTTTATC